ACAGCTGTTATGAGTATTATGTGTGCAGATAATGTAATTTTTTCAGTGAAATTATAATAATTATTGATTGTATGATTTAAATATACATCATAACTATAGTAAAGTCACTTTTATTGTTGAGAAGTTCTGCTCACAAATACTTCTGCTCCTTCTCTTCACAACACAGAAAGAGGACTCTACTTTGTGAGGATACCTAAGCGCGGCCGCAGGCCGCCTACGCAGAAAGAACTTTTGCTCAAAAATACTTCTGCTTCTTTTCTTCGAACCACAGAAAGATAATTCTACTTTGTGAGGGTTATATACTTAAGCGCGGCCGCAGGCCGCATACACAGAAATAAGTTCTGCTCAAAAATATGTCTGCTCATTTTCTTCGCATCAAAGAAAGAGAATTCTACTTTGTGGGGATTATAATCCCTAAGCGCGGACGTAGGCTGCCTACGCAGAACGAAGTTCTGCTCAAAAATACTTCTGCTCCTTTTCTTTTCGACCCAGAAAGAGAATTTTACTTTGTGAGGGCTACAATCCCTCAGGCCGCCTACGCAGAAAGAAGTTCTGCTCAAAGATACTTCTGCTTATTTTCTTCCCCACACAGAAGGATAATTCTACTTTGTGAGGGTTATAGTCCTTAAGCGCAGCCGCAGGCCACCTACGCAGAGAGAAGTTCTGCTCAAAAATACTTCTGCTTATTTTCTTCCCCACACAGATGGACAATTCTACTTTGTGAGGGTTATAGTCCTTAAGCGCGGCCACAGGCCGCCAACGCAGGAATAAGCTCTACTCAAAAATACTTCTGGTCATTTTCTTCGCAACAAAGAAGGCGAATTCTACATTGCGAGGGTTATAATCCTTAAGCGCGGCCGCAGGCCACCTACGCAGAGAGAAGTTCTGCCCAAAAATACTTCTGCTTATTACACAGAAAGAGAATTCCATGATAAAAAAATAGAAGGTAGTTTCACTTCAAACTTTCTTGCCGATTACAGGCATTTTTGAAGTTTCATAAATTTTACACTTTAGAAGCAGCGTTGCTACATTGTAATTAACAAAATATAATTTATGGTATTTTGGGATGGTAGCTTCTATAGTGTTTAATGGTTCTTAGTCTTTTCATACGATCCTAAATAGTTAACTTTTGGAGTTCTAAAATGCGTAGCAATTATTATTACCTCAGGAAACCTCAAACTATGAAGGCATGTCAGAGACGTAAATATTTGC